GTGGGGTGGGGTGGGGTTGGGTGGAGGCTCACTGGTGAGCATCTGGTGGTCAAACCTTGGCTTCTGGGGCTTGACTGGGCTAAGCATTAAAGAATTGCACATGCCTCCTTCACATGGACCCACGACATGCAGGGAGGATCGTCAAGGTTGAGTCGATGCATGCCAGGCTGAGTGAGGGAGGATCCTTGGCTGTGCCAATTCCTGGGGGCATAGACTAGCTCTCACTGGCAAGTAAGTAAGGAGCCAGAGCTTGTGTGTGAGGGTGAGGTCGAGTGATACCAACTAGATACTATAGATGGGCTTACTTTTACTTACAGTTTGGGATCTGGAACCCAACTTCTGGAAAGAGTCTGGACTCTCTTCTACTCTGGAGTTGCCCAGGGAGAGAGGCGTCAGGTGGGTGTGGGAATACTCACAACCCTGCAGCTGAAGATAACAAAATTAAAAACATTTGCATTGCTTCCCTTTATTTGGCCGTAACAATRAGAAGAAGTAAAACTTCTATATTCTGTCTCCAAAGCGTACTAAAATAATRAATTCTTCTGTTTTCCTTATTCTTGTAAGACCAAATCAATCTTTTTACAAAGTTTTCTGCAGTAAATGAGAGGGCTGCACCTCTGTGGCTTCAGGCTGCAGAGAGAAAGTTTTGACTGTTGTCTGCTTGACTGCTTAAGTAACAAGAATCAGTTCAGATTACCCAGCATTTTTGGAGTCTCTGGATGGTGTCCTGGAAGGGGCATTGTATGGGGATTTCTTTGTATTACTGGGTGAATTCAGCACCCATTAATGGAGTTATCCAGAAGAGAGGCTCTTGATGTGCTGGACGAGCGTCAAGCGCTTCAAGAGCAAAGTGCACAAGCGTCAAACTTGAAGCGTTGGATGCCATTTTGACACCGAAATCGCGTTCGATGTGAACACACTGTAACATTTGGTTGAAGAGATGGGCAGAATTCTGAACTGATCACCACATGGTATAAGTTAGACTCTTACCACCATCAGTGTGTGAATGGGTATGGCTGAAGCGTAAAGTAGTTTGGAGTCTGTATGGACTTGATAAAGTGCTATATAAATTTAAACCATTTACCATTCGGTAGAGGGGGAGGTTGCAGGACAGATCTAGTAAACCCAAATGTACAGTGAGGGTGAACTGGGAGTGCCTGGTGGAGCCCCCTGTCTGTGTGATCTTTAGCTCTCACATTCAGGAGAACTTTTCCCATGTCCCGGGGGAAGTCGAGGACATAGAGTCCAAATGGGCCATGTACAGGGCCTCCATTGCAAATGTGGCTTCCTGGAGCTGTGGTCTGAAGGTCATTGGTGCCTGTCACAGCAGCTAAGTACCCATTGGTGGACACCATTGGTGATGGAGGCTGTCAAGGTGAAGGAGAATTCCTTCAGGACTCAGTTTCCCAGAGGACTCCTGAAGCAGCTGATGAGTACAGYGTAGAGCACATGTGTCAAACACAAGGCCYGTGGGGTGATTCCTGTGTGGCCCGCCGGGGGGTGGGGTTATTTTTTAATTTTTTTACTTAGCATGAAAWTTGTTTCTTTTATCAATGGTAAACTTTAAATTCAGGATTAAATGCAGCAAAGTAAATTTAATATAAATAAATGAAATAAAAGTAAATTTAATCAACTCCTGTCCCTGAGCTGTTGGCTTGAAGTAACTGAGCAATTTAGTTGGATAGCACAGCATTAACGTCTGAAAATAAGCTGCAGTCAGCATCAGCCATAAACTAAATAATATTTCTGTATTTATTTCAGATTTAGTCAGTCATACACTTAGTTCTTATCAGTGTTTAAAAGAGGAYGTGTTAAAACACTGTTTAGTCAAAGTTAAACATGAAACGTCAAAGTTTATTACAAGTGGCCCTTCGAGGGCCACCATAATGCTCATGTGGCCCTCGGTGAAAATGAGTTTGACAGCCCTGGTGTAGAGTTTAGATTTATAGCCCGAGTACAAGTCTGACTCGAAACCCCAACCCAAATTCGGGTCAAGTTTGGGCTGAAATTATATGCTTAACGGTCAGGTCAGGTTTCCACGGCATGTTTTCAATAAGCCTACATAGCTACAGCACAGAGAAAACTAAACAAGTATGAATGATCTAAAGTTAAGCTACTGATTATACTCTTAAGTTTATCCTGTTGAGGAAAAGTGAAGCACAGCACACTGCACACATGCTCTGCTGTTATCAGATTTGCTATCCATCCATCCATCCACCCATCCATCCATCCATCCATCCATCCATCCATCCATCCATCATCTACACCCGCTTCCTCTTTTCAGGGTTGCGGGGGTCACTGGTGCCCATATCCAGCAGTCACTGTGTAAGGGGCGGTCACAAGTCTATCACAGTAAAAAAATCTTTGGTGGTCTAAATATGAAAACATTAAAAACATATTGTATTTATGCATGTTTAAATATTCATCCCCAAAAATCATCCATAAAGTTGGGAGTAAACGGGAGTAAATTCTAACTGATTTTTTTTTCTACCACGATAAATGTACCATAAATATTTTCTACTATAGGACTATAACTGAAAGATTGTGTCACGGGGATAAATCATCATAYTTTTTCCTGCTGAATGTCACGCAGCCCACCTGATAAACCACAACTAATTTTTCACGTGGATGTCAGGTGCATTTCTGCGAGCAGCTCTTGTTAATTTAACAACCAGCTCTTGCTGTCGGATTGAACCAGACCAGACTGTTTTCAGCGTCATGGAGCTTGCGTTGCTGCCCTGTAGCCTTTGCTCTACAACCACAAACCCACCCACAGGTGTGTTTGTCCCCGCAAGGGCGGAAACATGCATGAAATTAAGGACAGCATTTTATACAAGGATCAGGTTTTCAGCAACAGCTAGCTGTAACACTTCCTATGTAGAAAAATATATCTGCCAAAGTAACTGTTAAGCTAAATTGACAGCAATGTTTACAGGTTTTCAGAAGAACCAATATAAAATTGTGTTACAGTTGGAGCATGTTGGTCCACTTGGAGAAGCAATTATCAGCTCATCAGTACGATCAAAACGGATCTATTTTCATAAGCAGATTTTGCTGTCTCATCTCCAGAATTTTAGAGAAGTGGTTCTCTGCAGTCAGTTTCTTGTTTTGCGGGAGTTTTTTGCCCAAGACACGTTTTGTCCGTTTAACATTAGTGAGCGAAGTTTGCCAAAGACATGATTGGTCAGATTGACGATGGGGTTTGAAGGAGCTGGGGACAGCTGGGAGTAGCTTGGTCGAATTGGACAGGAAAAACATATTTTTTTAAATATAGAGATTAATTTTAGTCATAACTTGAGACAGGAAGGTGCTAGCTGCACAAGATTTGAACGCCGTTCATGYGGAGGGACGTGTAACAATTTGGCTCGGTCAAAACAGCCCTAACCAGCCTGTAAAAACATCGCTAAAAATAAATATGAATATGAGTCATAACGAGACAGGAGGGTGCTTGCTGCCGAAATTTGAAGTCAATAAATTATGTTTACATGTTCACAATAATTTTTGAGTCATTTTTTTTTTATTTTAAACTGTAAATAGACAGTCAATAAATCATTATTTTCCTAATACCAACACTTTCTCTTTTAAGTTGCCCCACAAGACAAATCTGGCCAATCACGATTAGGAAAAACTCCATCCATCCAATATGTACTGCAGGGACCCCTACTTGGAATTTTATAGTGGTTCATGTTAATATTTAAACATTTTCATTTGCAGTTAGTTTGAAATAAACAATTATTCTGACAAAAATGTATTAGTGTTGGACATTTGAAGCAAAAATACTCCGTCAGCATTTCTTTGAACAATCTTGTTTCCCACTGCACCCCCCCCCCCCTCACATACCAGCTACTGACATCGTGACAGCTCTTTACTTTCACTAAGGTTCTTGAGGGGGCATGGGAGTTTGCTTAACTATGTGTTTTGTGAGGATGGAGAAGGTATTCAGCTGCAGACATGTCAAGATTCAGAGATTTACCCTTTGCATGTACAGAGAAAATCTCACTGATTTTTATTTTTTTGTAAATCAGCTTCAGCTTAATTTCCTTACCAGCAGTAAGTCAGACCTCTTCAGGGCTTGGAATGCCTTTTGTGACTAACTCTATGATGTTTATGGACAGAATTTCTCAGTGCAGCAGAAGGGTAAGAATCTGTGACCTCGGGATTCTGTCTCTGCTATTTGCAAAATGTAATTATTTATTCAAACTGAGGTCAATGAAAAGACTGTCAACAACAGGTAAGGTTTCGATTGTTCATACTTTTTCTACAAACCTCAACTTCAGTATGGAAGCAGAATGACAAAGTGCATGCATGTGCGTGTGTGTACCTGAAAGCACCAAGACCATGGGAGAAAATAACCACAGGGCACTTTTCATCTGATTTAAATGGAGCATCTGTGTAGGCTGGGATCTTAAAAGAGCCTGAAATAAACAACAAACATTAGCCTTCTGAACAATAAGTGTTTCCAACACATTCCACCTTTCATTCAGATTATTTTCTCCTACAACATACCTAATGTGAGGAAAATTATCTTACCGAACTCAAACAAGCCAAATGCCGACTTTTGTATTTTTCCAATCCTAATGTCACATTAGGTGTACATTTAGTACAGATCACTTTAAAAAGTCTGTYAGGATTAACTGTCTGGAACCGTCACAATTCTACATAATCTTTCAATCGCTTGATTTTGTTTTTACTTTACAGACAAGTGAAGGAAATTGTGATATTTGGATTTACATCTGCAAAATTAATTTTTTTGACACAAGATCCAATGGGCCTCATGCAAGAACCGTTCGTACGCACAGATTTATTCTTAAGTTGTGCGTACAAGTGATTTAGGAGAATTTGTGGCATTCACCAATGTTTTCGTATTCTAAGATTTTTTTCAGATACGAACAATATTTACGAGTGGTCCAGACCTGTTGTATATTTTATGTAGACTCAGTCTGCTGTTATCCAGACGGGTTTTCTTCACTAATAACTTTATAT